TTTCCAGTTCCTGGCTTCTTTCGCGTTGCCTTGACTTCAGTCTGGGCTTTTGCCTCGGCTGCTCCACGAGAGATTGCGGCAGACACTGCTTTCTCCATCTCGATGGCAAAGAGAGTGGCGATGTCAGCGGAATACTCAGGCTCGGGTTGATGCTCTTGAGCCATAGAGGTTTCAGATTCCTCAACTGACGCTACCTTCTTACTCTTACTCTGGCCCTTACCTTTAGAGTCCTTACCTTTGCCACCTTTGCCTTTACCCTTGGGATTTTTGTTGTACCAACTACTCTTGTTCCAATCGTTCTTGTACCAATCATTCTTATTCCATGATGAGGGATTGACCCCATTTTCCCTTCTGTTTGCCTTTGTCGTTTCCCTTGCCTCCATCTTGACTCTTTCCTTTTCCTTGGCCGCCTTTTGCCACCTGTGCCTTTTCCTTTGGCTTCGGCCAGACTCGCAAGTGAAGCTTGCATCTGGCTGGCAGCAGCGGCCAATGCATCAACATCCATTGGTGCTGATCCTGTCTTGGCTTCTCTTCGACTCTCGATGTTCTCAAGATAGGCCAAAATCTCTGACTTCATGATGTCATAGTCAGTGAGTCTTGAACTTTGGAGGTCGGGGTGATCACACATCTGCTGGAGACAACTTCTCGCGATGTCGTCGTCAAGAGCTTTCTTCTTTCGCTCTTCGTATTTTCGCCTGATGTTCTCCCAGGCTTCTATGCTCTCGCGGAGCTTGTCCAATGCACACTGCTGCGGGTGCAGGACTTTCTCTTCAGCAAAGCTGAGTTTGCCTGTGGGTTCTGTAGATCATACTTCGTGATCAGTCGCCGCAATGCCTCTAGGCCAAAGTGCTGACCTCTGGAGGTATTCTTGACGATCTCGAGGGCTTCTCCCTCGCACAGTGAGATCAGAGCCTGTCGGGCCTGAGCTGAAACAAGCTCGCTCCTTCGGTCCTTCAGGGTAATCGTCTTCCAGAGATGTCTCGTTGATCTCTGTGTCTTGGTGCTCTTCGAGGAGCTGAATGCACTTTCCTGCATTCTTGTGACTTGTCTCAATCCAAGTCTTGAACTTGAAGTACCATGAGTCCCAGTTACCTGTGTGTCCATTGAACTTGTCAGGCTTTGGAGTGCCTTTCTTCAACTCTGATCTGTCTCGTACTTCTACGCTGGTTGCTATGTTCCTTGTGATTGCCGTTTGTTGGGTGTATGCTTCTGCCATTGCTCGTTGCAGTTGATTCTGCCCTTGTGCTAGTGCTTGCATCATCTGTGCAAGTTGCTGTGCCATGTCTGTAGCTTGTTGTGTCTGTGCTCCTGGCTGTTGTGCCATGTTGACTTGCTAGCCAGGGATTGAGCAACCCGGCTTTCCTGCAAGTGATGTTTGTATTCACGGATCTCCGGTGCCAAAGCCGATGCAGTTCGTTAGGCACACTTTTAGCTCACGCTTGAGGCGATCAAGTAGATCCAAATGAGCACAAACGGCTGCAGTGAAACATACATCTATACACAACTATGGCATGTACATGTAACTGGTGCTACGTCTGATCAAAAATCAATGTTGCCCCGAGTGTCAAAAATATGTTTATCTATTCAGCCGTCGTTATAACAAAAAGGCTAGACAAGGCAAGCTGCGATTGAGAGGACCACAAGCCAGCGGGAAAGCATGTAGCAGTACCTCGAAACACTTGAGGAACTGCCCAGTTGATCGCTTTGGACATGGTACACCTTCGAAGGCGTTGGAACTCTCGAGCCAAATGCACTGCACATCATAAATCACCCAGGCTGCCAGGCACAACCAAAGGGAACAAACCTACAACTTTTCTATCCAAATCATGTCCCGCCAACGTGCTGGTGCCGTTGGTCGCACTAACTTGAGCGGCCATGAAGACAAAACAGCAGGGACTGGTGGAAGGGTGAGTCAGGCTCTCACATGAAAGACCACCTGACCGACGAGGCGAAAGCGAATTCCACAAGGCCAATACCTGAAATTGATCATTTTCAAGAATTTGCACGCAGTGCATGTGCTTGTAGAGTTGCATGTGTAGTTGCGTTTGAGGTCTCTCCAATAGTCGCACACGCAAGTGAAATGCATCGATTCTCACAATAGACCCCAGCATCAAGACTGCACGTTCAAAATGTGCAGGCACCAACTGCTTTGCCCCTCAGGGCTGCTCAAAAATCTGCAGAATCCAAACTAAAGCTTGCTCGAAACTTCGTAAAACAGAAGTGCCAGAGTGTGGAACACTGGAATGGCCGATCTGAATAATCTGGGCACATATATTATATACCTAAACAGCTTAATGAAAGGTCCAAAATACACCTTCCAAATTTGGCAAATACAAAAGTTGAAGGACCAGCTGGTCTGCCGGCGTTGCCGGTTCTAATCCGAATGAGGTCCGTCATTGCTTCACTTTCTCAGTTTGAGGGTTTGATGAAACGTTCAATGCCAAAAAGAAACTCTATGTCTGGTCGCATGCCCCTTTGACCAGATCAGGCTGCAGCCAGGAATCCAAGACCGAGAACACCAACTAGAACCATCTCTTCCAGTTGCACCATGACTTCGAGCTCCTGTCTTGCCAGTGGGCACTTCTCTTTATCAGCACCATGCACCATGCATTATCTGCTTTATTCCTATATGTAACTAACCACCACACGTCCTCGAGTTTGTTCAATTGGATGATTGATGGGCCACCTGCACGTCAGTCAGGTGGGTGAAACACAGCAAGCGCCTTCAAGCCAAACGTTGAAACGAACTCTGCCTGAGAGCTCCGCTAACCCAAGAGCTTCTGCTGCCTTCTCTTCCAACTCACCAAGGCCAACAGCTCCCTCCAGCCGGCCGACCTCAACACCTGTAACAAATCTGGCCAGTGAAGGCAAATCTGACGGAATGCTTGTCATAGAAAGAGTATCGACCTTCGAGCAATAGAAACATGAGGGTGTCTAATGGTGTCTGGTGAAAATGTTGCTTCATCTCATCTTGAGCCACATCATAGCTATGAGTCAAAATAGACTTTCGCCTGACACACTCGGCCAAATAGCGCCTTCATTGAAGAAAATAATTGTCGGCAAACCCTCGACTCCCATCTCGCTTGCCTTGCATTATATATACTGCATATATACATGGCAATGGGAAACGGCGGCCAACTTGCAAGTGGACTCAGCAAGCGGTCTCTCAACAAATCCTGCCTTCGCAGAGTGCCTGTCGCTATCCATGCGAAGCACCTGAGGGCTTGGACTGCCCTCTTTTTCGACATCGCTCTCCAGTTTGTCAGCCAGAATGTTCAGAGCTGGCTCCAGCAACTTGCACGGTCCACACCTCCAACAAAACAAATGAAACTCTGAAACCTGTTGGTCATGGCACTGCCCACAGGAATGGCATGGAATGACTATAGCAAAAGTTGAGCCAGGGGACCAAACTGCATAAACGTCTAGGACTACAGCGCCACCCCTCCGTATGCTGGACTCCAGTTCTGCTGGGCTGACTTCTGTAACGGACGCGCGTCTCTTCAGACTTTGCGACGCATACTGGGAGCGGGTGCCAGGATAGCCGACGAACAAGCCTAAGCTCAGAAAGGGCCACAAAAAATGCAGCGAACCATCTCCGAACCATTGTTCATGTTGAGGGTTCACAACCATGCAAGCAAATTCGCCTTGGGGAGGTTGAGCTCGCTCCACATGCAGCTGCTTGTGGCCCAATAAGTTGGACAGTGTGACAGCGGCAACAATAGATAAAGCACGCTGTAGCGCCCGGCATTGAAGCCCGAAGTCTGATCCCATTTCCAAAAAGGTCAAGCCAAGCCGGTCTAGTGTGATGCAATGTGCGTGTCTAGGTCTAGGTGATGCATGTCAGGGTAGTCCTGGGGTAGTTCGAGGGCTTGCAACTGTGAAGACATGCAGATCTAGAATCTAGAATATGTTTCTCTGCTTTCCCTACTAAAAGGTGCCAACATGTGCTAACCAAAGGGATTTTGCCCACGGCCAGTTTGAGCCTTCTTGTCCAGCTGTGTAAACCTGTGTCTGCATCATGCCACGACCCTCGAGTTTTCTAGGGATTCCTCATCAGCCTATTTGAGAGATCACTCTGCACCACTCAACAGTAGCCTGCAGCAATGAAAGCCAACCCGATTCAGTAAACCACCCACCGGGTGGTGCAAATAGAAGGCCTTCACCCCTTGTCCTCTCACCAGCCATCACTTCCATTGGGGAGAGCCACTTCGAAGACCTGATGTCCAAAACGGCCTCCTGTTAAGCAACTCCAAGACAAATAATCCCCAAGTAACTGCCTGTTTGGTGTGTGATTGCCTTATGTACCTACCAGACCAGTGCTTGCAAGGCCTCAATTCCCACGAGTGCTTTTTTGCAGAGGTGTGATAGCAGGAGCAATTTTGAAAACCTGATTTCAGCATCGAAAAACCCTCATTGTTCACATTCTCTGCATTCTTCGCGGTCGGACAGTTGCACCAGAGACTGTTTTCGACAGTTCTCTCACAAGCAAGTGTTGGCTTCCGTACATGCCATAAACGTAACATGCCTAACCTCGACAACCTAATCCATTTGTCAGCCATGCCACCTAAACAACTACGAAAATAAAGGATGAAGCGGAGGAGGAGGAGGAAGAAGAAGAGGAGGAGGGGGTAATGGCACCCAAAACAATCCCCACCCACTCCCTCACCCCTTTGACAACGCATTGTGGATGACAATGTAGTGAATCAAGGAGTCAAAGTGAGGTGACCGTGATGACAAGTGCATTAATGCTGAAAGGGGCGCAAAATGATGAGAAGTGAACGAAAAGTAAGAAAAACTGTCGACGCATTGTGGTCCAACTGCTCCGACAGTGTATAACAACTCTGACCTGCTTGGGTTTAGACCAGACCAGCCAGAAAGTTACCCCAAGGCTCGAGCACAACACCCCAAACACGCTGCCTCTCGATGGTGCCTGTGGAAATAGATTCCTGAAAAGACATGCTCAAAAATCTATGGCTGGGACTACGATGGCCCAAAAAAGGGGCTGGTGAGCTCAAAGGGGGCGCCATCTCTAAAAATTGTGAGTCCAAGGCAGTAAAGTGCAAAACGTACTTTTGACTCCGTGCATTCGGGCCGATATCGTTCAGACGCAGTTGCACTTTGTGCCTCCTTTGCTTTGCCTCAGTCTCAGTTCTCTGCACGCACTCAAACGTAGGCATGTCTTTCTCTACAATTGTCTGGAGGAATGAGGGCGCTGCTAGTTGTCTTGCTTTGCAACGGCAGTGATTCTATGCCGTTCCATTCCTTAGAAGGAGCAATGTCAGCACTCAGGCTAGCTACAGGGATCTCAAACAAGGTCCGCCTTCTCAACTGCATAGTCAAAGACTTGGTCGCGTTGGCATCGCCTGTGGGAGAGGCCGGAATGACGGCGCAGCATCTAAATACGCACGCAAGCCGCAGTCGGGTAAAATCTTGCAACATAAAAGCTCACGAACGCAAGCCCTGGCCCAAAAGAACTTTCAATGTTGCGTTTTTGTCTGACCTCAGGCAATGTTTGACAAACTGGACGTGTGCATGTACAAAACATCAACATCTATGAAACCGTCTAAGGCCACTGAGCAGCAAAGCTAAATCCCAGACATCGGCCTGAACAACCGTGCTTGTGCAGTCAAACTTTGTTCCAATACCTTGTGGTGCTACCAAAGGGCTACATCTCCCAATTCTTTGATTTTCTTCATTGCTTGCGCATACTGCTTGACAAACTCCTGGCCATGAACGTGGTCCCCAAACAAAACGTTGAAGAAGGCTGCCCCTGACTCAGCAGTGGTCCTTTTCAGCTTCAATGGATTTCACCCTCAACACCACATGCAGCACAACGAAAGTTCGCACGAACGCTACGACACGAGCTCAGTTAATTAGGTCACGGCAATCCACCCCTGGTTGATTCCGCGTAGTTTTGCAAAGCATCCACGCATACTCCTTGGTTCTGCAGTCATGCATCTGGCACATTACTGTATATTGTATACATATAGTTCCTTTGTGTTGAAAAACTTGTCACTCATTCAGCTCAGGTTCGAATGATGTTCACTGTTACCTTGGCTTCTTCAAAGGGGAAAACATGCTTAATAATGTGCCTGTGATGTACATGGGCCACTTGCGTTCGTTGCAAGGTTTCAACGCCGACTTCTTTAGCAAGCCGAAGATCTCCCTCGCCTTTGTCAAGCGCCTGCTCCTGTCACAACAGTGTTTGGGCATTGAAATTGTGGAGGGTTTCCGGCTGGGTACTGACATGTCTTAAGCACCAACGGCATTATTGGTGTTTGGATCTTTGCGCGCATCCCACAGGCCTGGCAAGCTGTTTCAATGGAGACGGCGGGGGGGGCATTCCCTTTTGGATTCCTTGCAGCCACGTGCATTCTGCAAAAAGACAGCCAGGTACGCCCATCAGATTCCGCAACAAGTTCAGCCTTCCCAACGTGTGTCTTTGCACAACACGTTGTTGTTCTTCTTCTTGTCCTTCATGCGGCCTCAAGCTCCTCAATATCAAATGTATGAAAACGATACATTTCCCACAAACCCGCTGTAACTCAAAATATGCGGTTGAGGGACTGAACCAACAAAAGGTCGCAGCACCAAATAATAGCCACCATGCGCATGGCAAACTGCTGGCTGTGGTGGGGCATTTGGACAACAACACATGCACAAAACATGTTGCATGTTTGCTCGGCAACGCTGTCTTTTCCAAGATGTGCTCAACATTCCCGAGAGCCAAGTGGAAACATGGAAGGCCTGATGCTCCATAGCGGCATGACAAAAACATTGCAGCAGCAGAATTGTTGGTCAACCATTGGCAAACCATCCACTTTCACACAACAGCACGTTCACACAATGACATGCGTGAAATGACAAGCATGGGTGCTTGTTTTCATAACCATCCTTGCTGTACATAACCCCCGCATACCCCCGCCCTCTCCACTTAAGACCTGCACCCTGGAAAATCAACAACGCCTTCGGCCAGCCTTCTTGTCTCCGGCTTAGGCTTAAAGCCAATTTTCTCAGTGGCCCTTGCTTCGTGAGGCTGGAGGGCGGACGGAAGTCCGGTCCCACTTGGATGCCTTGTCCCCTTGCCTTGGGTACGCACGACTCTGTTTTCTGGATGGTGCGTGGTTTGCTTGTGGACTCTCCTCGCACTACGGACCTCAGCGGGGGTCCATGGACGCTCCTAGTAGAAAAGGCCAGGAGCCCCTAGTAGCGATGCCCTTTGTCCCTAATAGCCATAGCGTCCTTTGTAGTTTGCCCTGGCGGTTTTGGCCTCGCAAGTTCACCTGGGAACAGCGCCCCTCCTCAGCGGCCGCAAAGCCAACAACGCGTCTTCCCAGTGCCCGGCTGCCCTTGCTCCGTCACTCACCACGCTCGGAGATGGGCCAGCTGGACCATTGCGCTCGATGTTCGATGGTCTGGCTGTGTTTGCGTGATCTTGAAGCAGGTCGAATTAGCCAAAGCTCCGTGCTGCCCGGAGGGCTTTCTGAGTTCTTCGTGAGGCACCGCGCTTCATGGAGGACAAGGAGGAACCAGGGGGGGGGTGTGGGTGTATGGGAGAATGTGGTGGTTGTTATGGTTGTCGTTGTTGCTGCTGCTGTTGTTGTTGTTGCTGCCGCCGCGAAAATTTTAAGCAAGGCAACAAGTCAACTCAACAAACATAATGTTATTGTGCGAAGTATGCTAACTTGCATCAGCATTGACCACACGGATTTTTTCTGCCTTCGCCAAGGGCCTAAAGGCTATTTTTCATCTTTCTCATGTTCGCAGTCATTGAGCATTGGTAGACCTGGTTTGGATTTTCCTCCCATTCGTCAACGTTGGTTTGGTGGTTCTTCCAGGGGTGATGACTTGTAAGAATGGTGTTCTTTTTAATAGGGGCTGTCATCAACAGTCAGTTGTCGTTTGAATCATCGAGGTTCGGCAAGAAGTCCATGTTGCAGCTCATGTTCATCTGGACTTTGATCTTGGAGTTTCTCCTCTTCTTCATTTCATTGAACATCCTCGATTCTGCGCCATCTGAGAAACCGAGGCAGTAGGTGAGTTTTTGAAAGAAACTCTGATGAGGGTTTGCCCCGTGCTAAAGTTGCTAATGTGTCTTTTCCTGCTGGGCAATGCCAAAATGGGAGAATCTATTTGCATCCGCAGATTCTGCGCAATCACCCCACTGCTACCTCTAGCGTCCGGGGTGCCATTGAAGATTGTTTTCTATTCCCTCCTGACAACTATCAGCCGCAAGCACCTTGAGGGCAGTCTCCCTCTTTGGCCGTTTGGTTCGCAGCATTTGGTGATGACTTGCTCGAACTGGTTCCAAAAGTACATTCAGAATCCCAATGCCGGATTGCCCAAGCGGCGTCCGCCTGCGCCTTTTCCCCTGTGAAGTTGCGAGGGGTCTCCGCGTCTTGTTCCTTCCTTTTCCTTGACCCTTTGCCTTCGGTCACCCTTGTTTTTGTTTGTGCATTGTTCAAGGGCACATCAAACTCCCAAATGTCACTTCAGTAGCCCTTCGAGTTGGGCTAACATCAAAGCAGCGCACCTGGTTCTTAATGCGTCACTGGAACAATTTTTTCTCACTGGGCTAAATGTTTTAGCCTCATTATGTTCCTCTTCGCGTTGGCGTCAGGGAAAGAATCCTCGCCCCGCCACTGCAGGTGACATAGGAGTTCTGCCGCAAAAGAGACGGAAAATGCCCAGGAGGTGTGGAGCCTCCAGACCCGGAAAAAGAAACTGCGGAGACTGTGGCCACATGACCCAAGGTAAAGACCAAAGTTTGCCGAGGTAAACCAAATGGTTGCGATGCGATGGGACTAACCGGGCATGTGTTCAGGCCATCTAATGCACATTTCACATGTTCCCCAACAACAGCAACAACAACAACAACGCGCTCAACTGTGCTCGACTTCACTGGCAACCTGCCCGATTTTGTAAGCAGCTGCATGATGAAATGGGATTTGTGCACACAGGGGAAAACTGCCCTGTCCTACATGATATGTTGCTCTGATTTTGCCACATTACCGTCGAACATTCCTATCTCACTTCCGGTAGTGTAACTGGTAAGATGCGGGCGATGACGCCTGCGCAATGGAAGACCAGGACTATGAGGCCCTTTGGTCCCAGATATCTGAAGATGAGGACGCTGACATTGCCCACGCCCCCACAAAAGTCCAGCGCACAGAAGCACGTTTCTGCGTAGCATTCTGCTCGGTGTGGCGTTCTTCCATTCAAAGGGGTCAATAAGTTGATGATCGCCTCCTTGCTTCTGGGCCTCTGAGGCCGTCGTATTTCAATCCACAAGGATCTGGGCCTTCCACTCTATGTAGTTTTTGGTCGCGCTGTCGAACAAAAACATGAAGTTATCACAAGTGACATGGAGCCCCGTGTTTGTCACGTCTACGGGTGGGAAGTAGCTTGGATGAAGCAGAACATGTCTTCTTGTGAATGAGATGCAGAACAAAACCCCGACCAATTGAACATGTGCGGCAAATAGAAACATATATGATTATGAATTGCTAGGTTATTTTGTGTTTACTGGTTTCCACTGGGAGCTCACGTGCGTGAGAACCATTACTTTATTTTTGGTGAGTGTTCTTTGTTCTTCCAATGTTGACACTTATTCTTCCAATATGGTCCAAGTGCTTTGGCTTCCATTCTTCTTTGCTATGTTTCATTGCGCCGGGTCAACAGCCAAAGCCACTAATTTGGAGCGTGAGGTTGAAACCGGGTTGGTCCTGCCAGTGGTCATACGCTTGTCTCAAAAATTAAGCCATGCATGTCTCAGTATAAGCATTTACATTGCGGAACTGCGCATTGCTCATTAAAGCAGTTATAGTTTATTTGATGGTCGCTGCTACATGGATAACTGTGGTAATTCTAGGGCTAATCACCACCCTCGGACCTTCAAGTTCAAGTAATTTTGTTCTGTCAGGCAGTTAAACCCAAGTTCACTACCCAACCAAAACTGCTGGATACCCCCACCATTCCTTCATCATCCTTCATCCACAACGCATATTCGCCAACAAATAAGGTGATACAGTGATACAATTAGTTCAAGAACTTGTTTGCGCAATCTTGTGCCTGAATGGTGTGACAGCATTTCAAAAACCTGATAGAACCCACGAACCCGAATGCAGTCACTTGGTATAGAAGCGTAGCACTCAAAGCGTTCTTGTTTTCAGAGATGACTCGCAGAGTCATCAACTAAAGCAGCACCAGCACCTCCCCAGCCGTCTAGACACTCTTTCTTGACACACGTTGCTAGACAATCTTTCTTGACACTTTCTCTTGAGCTGGGCACTCTTGCTTGACACTCTTGCTTGACACTTTTGCTGGATACTTTTACAGGACACTCTTGCTGGACACTCTTGAAAACAAGCATGTTTCACGAGACTTTCACCAGAAGCAACAATCAAAGCTTCCAAAAAACGAGCATTTTTCACGAGACTTTCTCTTGCTAAACAATCTTGCTTGAAACTCTTTCTTGACACTCTTTGCTAGACCATCTTTCTTGACACTTGTTCTTGACACTCTTGCTTGACACTCTTGCTGGACACTCTTGCTTCACACTCTTGCTGGACACTCTTGACACGACACTCTTGCTTGACACTCTTTCTTGACACTCTTTGCTAGACAAACTTTCTTGACACTTTCTCTTGACACTCTTGCTGGACACTCTTGCTTGACACTCTGCTAGACACTCTTGCTGGACACTCTTGCTTGACACTCTCTCTTGACACTCTTTGCTAGACAATCTTTTTTGACACTCTTTCTTGACACTTTTGCCTGACACTCTTTGCGGGACACTCTTGCTGGACACTCTTTGCTAGACATTCTTGCTGGACACTCTTGCTTGACACTCTTTCTTGACACTCTTTGCTAGACACTCTATCTTGACCCTCTTTGCTAGACACTCTTGCTTGACACTCTTGCTTGACACGTTTGCTGGGCACTCTTTGCTAGACACTCTTGCTCGACACGTTTGCTGGGCACTCTCGCTGGACACTCTTTGCTAGACATTCTTGCTAGACACTCTTGCTTGACACTCTTTCTTGACACTCTTTGCTAGACACTCTTTCTTGACACTCTTTGCTAGACACTCTTTCTTCACGCTCATTGCTAGACACTCTTGCTGGACACTCTTGCTTGACACGTTTGCTGGACACTCTTGCTGGACCCTCTTTGCTAGACATTCTTGCTGGACACTCTTTCTTGACACTCTTTGCTTGACGCTCTGCGTGACACTCTTGCTTGACACTCTTGCTTGGCACTCTTGCTTGGCACTCTTTGCTAGACACTCTTTCTTCACGCTCATTGCTAGACACTCTTGCTGGACACTCTTGCTGGGCAGGACACTCGGCTAGACACTCTGGCTGGACACTCTTGAAATGACATGCTGCTAGACACTCTTTCTTGACACTCTTTGCTAGACAATTTTTCTTGACACTTGTTCTTGACACTCTTGCTTGACACTCTTGCTGGACATTCTTGCTTCACACTCTTGCTGGACACTCTTGACACGACACTCTTGCTTGACACTCTTCCTTGACACCCTTTGCTAGACAATCTTTCTTGACACTTTCTCTTGACACTCTTGCTTGACACTCTTGCTAGACACTCTTGCTGGACCTTGACACGTTTGCTGGACACTCTTGCTGGGCACTCTTTGCTAGACACTCTTGCTTGACACTCTGCTAGACACTCTTGCTGGACACTCTTTGCTAGACACTCTTGCTGGACACTCTTGCTGGGCAGGACACTCTGCTAGACACTCTTGCTGGACACTCTTGAAATGACATTCTGCTAGACACTCTTGCTAGACACTCTTTCTTTACACTCTCTCTTGACACTCTTTGCTAGACAATCTTTCTTGACACTCTTTGCTGGACACTCTTTTCTAGACACTATTGCTTGACACGTTTGCTGGCACTCTTTGCTAGACACTCTTGCTGGACACTCTTGAAATGACATTCTGCTAGACACTCTTGCTGGACACTCTTGCTTGACACTCTCTCTTGACACTCTTCGCTAGACAATCTTTCTTGACACTGTTTGCTGGACACTCTTTGCTAGACACTCTTGCTGGACACTCTTGCTTGGCACTCGTGCTGGGCACTCTTTGCTAGACACTCTTGCTGGACACTCTGCTAGACACTCTTGCTGGGCACTCTTTGCTAGACACTCTTGCTGGACACTCTTGCTGAGCAGGACACTCTGCTAGACACTCTTGCTGGACACTCTTGAAATGACATTCTGCTAGACACTCTTGCTAGACACTCTTTCTTGACACTCTTTGCTAGACAATCTTTCTTGACACTTGTTCTTGACACTCTTGCTTGACACTCTTTCTTGGCACTCTTGCCTGACACTCTTTGCGGGACACTCTATCTTGAACCTCTTTGCTAGACACTCTTGCTTGACACTCTTGCTTGACACGTTTGCTGGGCACTCTTTGCTAGACACTCTTGCTTGACACGTTTGCTGGGCACTCTTGCTGGACCCTCTTTGCTAGACATTCTTGCTAGACACTCTTGCTTGACACTCTTTCTTGACACTCTTTGCTAGACACTCTATCTTGACACTCTTGCTTGACGCGTTTGCTGGACACTCTTGCTTGACACTCTTTGCTATAGACATTCTTGCTGGACACTCTTGCGCGACACTCTTTCTTGACACTCTTTGCTTTCTTGACACTCTTTGCTTGACACTCTGCTAGACACTCTTGCTGGACACTCTTGACAGGACACTCTTGCTAGACACTCTTTCTTGACACTCTTTGCTAGACAATCT